GTCTCAAAACAAACAAAAAGAAAATTATTCATGGGAGTATGTGAGCCTCAAGAGGCAAGAAACCGTTGCATCAGTTGGAGCTGGCTGATAACGGTGCAGAATCAAACTTGGATCCACGTAAGAGCAGAAAGTGCTCTTAACCACTGGGTCATCTCTTCAGTCCCTTCAATTCAATCTTTAAGCACACTGCAGAACCCTGCTGTCCTGCAATCAAGTCATAGCACAGGGGGCTGCATAAAATCTCAGCTGCTCAGCACCTTCCCACCTTCAAGGTCAGCAATGGCACTAGTAACAATTCCTTATCCCTTCAGAAGACCAACAGCCAAGTCCAGCTGCAGTGACCCCACTTGACTGTGTGTTCTCATCTTCCTGCACAGGGGAGCAAGGGCGGAGCTAGAGACTAGTGCATGGTCCTGTCTTACCTGCAGCACCGAGAGGTTGGTCTGTCCAGAGAGACTCAGCTTCTCCTGCTCTGAAGGGTAGGCATTGTAGCGGTGCAGATACAGCCAGTCCCGGAGGATCTTTACCGACTCCTTGGGCAGGTTCCCCCTGCGCTTCCTTTTGCCAGCCAGTGACAGAAGGCCTTCATCCTCACCTAGGTCGCTGTCCGACATGGTGCCTAGGGGCTAGGCTGGACCTCTGGGGAGCCTAGGGCAAGTGACAAAGGGGATGGGAATAACATTACCACTTAGGCCTGTCCCCTAACGAATCCACCAGCATAAAAACGAGTCAGGGTTCCAAATTTTGGACACTACCATAGCCTGAGCAAGGATAGATGCTCAGCAAAGCTGAGCAAGGAAGGACGAACACTAAATGCCAATTCATGGAACAAAGAAGGGGACTACTCAAACGTGTGGCACCTCCTTTAAAAACAGAATAGGACTCTAAAGGACTACAGCTTTCCACTGTAGTTCCACTGAGACAGGGTCTCACTAAAAGGCCAGGCAGGTCTTGAAATCATGATCCTGTCTCTGCCCCCCTCCCCCCACTGTCAATGCCCAGTTTGAATTCTGCTTTCCAGGCTGTCCTGGCAACTTACTATTACCTCTTGTGCCCCTGGACAGGAGAAACTTACCATTTTATACATGAGGGAGCAGATTAAGAAAGCTGCCAAAGGCACCAGGAGTTACCACATGACCCTGAATTCAAACACATACACGGGGCCATGTAGACGCCTGTGAACAAATGTTCACAGCGGCCAAAAGGTGGAAACTATCAAGACTTTCAACAGATGGCGGGACAAATGAATTATTTGGTCATAAGAAGGGGTACAGCGGGACTGGAGAAATAGCTCCGCAGTTGAGAGTTCTGGCTACTCTTCCAGAGGACCTGCTTCAGTTCCCAGCACGCAAATGGTGGCTCACAACCATCTGTAACTCCAGTTCCAGGGGATTCAATGCCTTGTTACCTCTGTGGGCACCCATGTATAGACAAAACACTCATACACATAAAACAAATAATTAGAAAAGAGAGAGTACACTTCGGTGCTTGCTACAACATGGCCGGATTAGCAGTTAATGAGGGCTGGGGGGACAGAAAGGCATTAGCCTTTGTTTTTATTTATTTTAGAATTTTATATACTATAATATTCTTTGATCAAAGTACTATTATCTTCTTACTCTTTCTTCCTCCCAAGGTTTTATTTCTTCTCTTTAATGCATATAGATGTTCTGCCTAGTATATGCCTGGGTACCACAGATGCAGTACTCTGGGAGGCCAGGAGAGGGAGGAGGATCCTCTGGAATTGGAGTTACAGATGGTTGTGAGCCTGTGTCTGTGCTGGGAACTGAACCCAGGTTCTCTGCAAGAACAAGTGCTCTTAAACCACCGAGTCATTTCTCCAGCACTGTCCGCCCCCCCCCCCCAGCTTGCCACTTCCAGGGGTGAGGTGTCCTCTTCTGACCTCTGAGGTACACATGCGTATGTGCAGGCAGAACACTCATACACATAAAGTTTAGAAAGATTAAACCTGAAAATACTTAAAAAAAAATTATAAAGTAGTATTTAGTATCGGGTAGTTTTCCTTCCAAGGCCTAGAGGCAGGCCTGGAAACTGTTCACGATGGTCCTGCAGCCAGCTACTGTGGAGTGCAGGGAGTAGTGAGTCATTCCTATGATTGGTTCTTAGACCCTCTCCGGGGGTCGGGTCTCAGATCCAGAGCAATGAGGTGTGGCTCTGGTCCCTGCTTCAGCTTCCGCTGTGCTGTGTGATCCTAGTTAAGTGTCCTCCTTTCTCTGAATCTGAAGCCCTCCTTCCTTCCTTAGGAAGTTTTCTGCCTAGATAGCTCACATCAGCTGCTCCTCCACCAAAGTTCCTGTTCACAAAAGCAAAAGAAATGTACATTTTAAAAGCACAAGTTCTAGGCCAGGGCTGTGCCAGAATCTCAAGGCTCCTCCCTTCTCTGCCTTTTAACAGCTCCCCAGCAGGCCTAGCCAACAGAGTCTGGCATCGCTCAGGTTTTGTTTCCTCGACTTGGGCCTGAGCCCAGATCTCTGGGCTGGCTAAGCCAGACTTTCGAGGGAAGGGTCTACCTTCAGCCAGGCCACCTGGAGGCGAAGCGGGCACTGCTCAGAGGTACTGTTTCTCAAAGTATCACAAATGGTCTGCTTTCTGAGAGCAGACATTGCATTTCAGTCACCAGGACAGCTGGGACAGCAGTTCGGGGATGCAGCCCTGGCAGTTGTGAAAAGTTTACTGAAGGTCATCTTTACAAATTCCACTCTGGCTGCCAGCCAAGAATCCAGTCTTCAGAGTTCCCAGTGTGAGGCGAGAGGAGGCCACCTCTGCATCCTGCACCCCAAGCTCGCCTGCAGGTTTCCCATACAAACACATCCCAGTAATGCCTCGATTTTAACCGTGCAAGTTTTAACAGTGCTCAAATAACCGACCCGACCCACTACTGCTCACATCCCACAAGTTCCCCAAGTTTTACGAACGCACACAACTTACACTCCATACCTAGGACCAACGACTACAACGACTCTTAAGACTAGCCTAACTCCTGTACCCGCCCACCCACGAACTCCAAGTGACCTGCCCACCCACGATCTCTCCGACCGAGGAGCACGCACGTCATCATACTAGCCATCCATCAGCTTTCACCCTAACTGGGTTATTGGCTGCACCTCTTGGACCCTGCACCCCAAGCAATCTCCTACATACTCCCACCACACCATCTGCTGCAGCCACTCCCACAGGAACTTTCTGACAACTCTTCCAGCTCCAGATTCTCTCCCCCAGGCCGCACACTGAGGTTGAAGTTCTCAGCAGTTCACACAAAGCGCGCAACCTCCCCCGCGGCCCAGGCGCAGCGGAGCACATGGCTCATGGGGCGCCACCGAATCGGCCCGCGCTCAAGGCACCCTCACCCCTCATAACTCCCCGCCCGCTCCAGATTCACGAAGCATGCAACAGCTCCTCTGCCGGCCCGCCACCTGGCCCGGGGGAACTCTGCAAGAAAAAAAAAAAAAACTCACGTGTCCATTCTGGGGCAGGAAAAAGTTTGGTTCCCAACCCCTTCCCCGGTACTCCGCGCAGGCTGACTCTTGGGGCGCGGGGCCGTCGGAGCGTGCGCGCTCGGCTTTGTGCTCCAAACTCGGCCCGGAGGGGGAGGGGAAGAGAGGGGGCTGGGCTCCAACCTCCGCGCCGCCCCCCCCCCAGCTCTGCGCCCAGACTCCATGTTGGCCGCCCCCCTGCACCGGGGACGCGCACAGCCCCCGCAGAAGGCTCGACTGCCCCTCGCCTGGCCCCGGGGTCCCGGCGCGCACAAACTTTCTCCGCGTCGCCAACCCCACGCGCCCCACAGTCTTGGCCCGCCCTGGAGTGACAGATGCCTCGGAGACAGACTTTCCTTTGTTCCAAAGGAAAGGGGAACTCGCGCGGGCTCCCCAGCCCTCCTCGTTGGGGCCCCGCCCGCGGCCCCCACCTCCAGCTGTCACTCGGCGGCCCCCGGTCCAGCTCGGCCGTCGAGGGGGGGGGCAGCCGGCGGTTAGCAACGTGCACTTTTGAAACCAAACAAACCCGCTCCCCGCGCGCTCACCCCGCTGCGGGGCACCGGCCGCTCTCTCCCAGGATGGGATCTTTGGGAGCCGACTACCCCCAAAAAATCCCGAACGAACCCACTCCCCAGGACATCCCGCGCCGGAGCTCAGCGGTCGGGACACACACACACCCCCCGGCTCACACACCCACCGTCGCACGCGCCGGGACGACGCCCCCTCCCCCGCCCCGCCGCCCCAAGAAACTTTCCAAGTTGTCCGCGCGCCCCCGCCCTCGTCCCCAGCCCTCCAGCGCCCCGCACTCACCTTCCCCGGCGACTTTCCGGCCCACGCGGCCGCGATGGGGTGTTGGACGGCCCGGCCGGGGCGAGGGGCGCCGGGGGAGCGCGCCGCGTACCTGCCGGGTCTGACACCCGCCTGACAGCTCGCGGCTGGAAAGCACCTCGCGACCTGACGTCAGATCCCCTCTCCTCCCACCGCGCCCGCCGCACCCTCCCCCACCGCCCCAAGGCAGAAACAAACTTTGTGAGGAGCGTGGCCAGCTACGCCCACCCCCGGGGGCGGGTCCGCGGAGCCGGGGGGGCTTTGCCCCACCCACGCGCCGGAGGGGGCGGGCCGCGGCACCTCCTTCCTGCGCCCACCCACCTTAGGAATGCCACATGGCCCGGGCCGGGGGCGGAGCGGTGGGACCCGGACTCCAGGAGTCAGCTTGGGGGCAGGAAGTGGCCCGCTCCTCCTTTCGGAGAGCGTTTCCGGAGCGCCTACTGTGTGCGCCTCGCTGGGGGTGGGGCGCCGCCGGGCCACAAAGGGTGCGAGTCCGGGACCTCTGTAAGTTCGTTCCCTCGTCGGGGTGCTTGTCCGTGTGGGGTTGGGGAAACTGAGGCTTTGGAGCTGCGGAGATGTAACTCCCAGCTGCTCGGGGACCTGTGGGTTTGTCAGTCCGTAGGATCGCGTGGGAGGGGGGGGGCACTTTGCCTAAAACCCTAAGCCTAGGGCCTAGCGCCGAGGGTCGGCCGGGTCGGGTGTAGCCTGCGCCCTAGGAGCGGGACTGAGGCGACCAGCGAGTCGCATTGGGAGGTGTGCGCAGTTAGGCTCTGGGTGCCTGCCGACCCTTAACACACCTGCCGGTGCCCAGGCCCAGGTGGGTCTCATGACGGAGCCCGAGCCTTTCCGTTGGTGGCTAGCCTTAGATGGAGCCGGAAGGCGAGCCGAGACTCTTCCAGCGGTCCAGGCTGGTGTCTTTTTCCCCCAGGTTTTCCTTGCCTCCAAGTTCCCTGACTGTCGGTTGTCTCTTGACTCTCTACCTAAGTATGGCGGACCCTAACTCCAGCTCAGAGAGGCCTTTTCAGGGTTTGTGGTCGTATAGGCCCAGAAACCTGAGACCCTTGTGCTGGTACCAACAGCATTGGAACAGCCTTTCGTTTTTCTTTTTCTTTAATTATCTTACCATCATTATTTTACTGTTGAGCTGGGGTTCCAGGTTGGTCTCAGACTTAAGAGCCGTACAGCTGCTTCCACTACCTAAGCGACAGAAACTACAGTTGTCCCTACAACATCCGGCAACAGCTTTGCTTTTTTTTTTTTAAATTGTACTCTAGTCGCAGAAACTTTGGGGGCAAAAGTTAAGTTTTCCTCCCAGAAAGCCTTAAGCTTTGGTGATGGAGTGAAATCCTAAGTTTCAAGGAAGCCAGTCTGGCTGAAAACGTCATCTACCAGCAATGCCACGCTGCTGTCCTTCTAAAATGTCGCTGACATTTCCCAGGATCCTCATTTTCACCAACGGAAAAGCCAAAACCCAGAGATGGGCACAGCAATTTCTTGGCTAAGTGGTATTCCACCCGTGGACCTGTGAGACAGTGAAGGAAGTGGGGAGACTTGGGTAAACAAGGTAAAACCTAATGGGCCTTGGCCACTAGGCCAGCAGTGTGATGGAGGCAGGGACCTCTAGGGAAAGTGGAGGTGAGACCTGGTTCCTAGCTGCTGAGCCAGATGTCGTGCTAAGCCTGTGCAGCAGGTACGAGAGCCATCTCTTCTCTCAGGAGCAGGAGCCCCTGGTGGCCAGGGGCAAGCACGCAGAACTCCCCACAGATTACATCAGTGGAAGCCCTGCTAGGCCAGTATTCCCAAGTCTGCTCAGCTGTGGCAGAGCTCTGAAGTCTCCCTGACCCTCCCGGAAGGGTACCTGGCTGTTGTGAGGGAGTCTGGCTCTGTGTCTGGATTTCACATAAACAAATTCCCAAGCCTAAATATACCGTGAACTTGACAGTTGCCGGGTCAGTCTCGTCTGTAAATACAGAGTGAGATGTGTGCATTGCTACACCAGGCGGGATCCCACTGGGTTTTAATGTTTTTAAGGAGGCTTCACTGCGAAGCTAAAGCCTGCCTGAGGTGATTCTCTGTTCTGGAAGATTCCAACGGCTGGGTGCTCTTCCTGGGATCTGGATGGTTATTGGCAGCCACTGAAAAATGTCAAGGTGTAAATCTGTGTGCTCTAAGCCAGATATGGTTATAGTGTTGTGCCTAGAAGGGCTTTGGCCAGACTTGTTGATAATTTTGACAAGAAAATGTTTTCCAACTGGTGTTTGTTTTGGTTTATGACAAAATGTCACTGTTACCCAGGCTGGCCTCAAACTCCCAAGCTCAACGACATTCTGCTTAAGACTCCCAGACAGCACGCTGTACATGGTTCAGCATGCCTGTATGGTAAGTTATTGTTGTTATTATTATTATTTTAATAAGATGGCTAGTCTTGCTATGTTGTCTGTCTAATCTGGAATCCTTGGGCTTAAGTTCTTCCACTTCATCTTGGGTGCCAGGACTCTGTGTATGCCCTGCACACCTGGCTCTCAACTAGTTTTGTCACATGCACTCTTATCTAACACACGTGAATTTGAAACCTAGCACCATGTATACTGTGTGTGGATACATACGTGTATATGTATGTGTGTGTGGCATGTTGGTGCACACCTTTAATCCCAGGACTTGGAGGCTGAGGCAAGTGGATCTCTGTGAGTCTACTTAGTGAGTTCCAGGACAGCCAAAGCTACATAGAGAGACCTTGTCTCAAAGGAGGAAAGAAAAAAAAAAAAAGCCTGCATCTAGGGTTGGTGCTGCGCTCATGCATAAAGCCAATATCCAGTACTTCCATTAAAAAAAAAAAAGGAAGCCATCCACTTGGTTTCCTTCACAGTTCTTGAGGCAGTGTGGAAGCAGGTCAGTAATCCCAGCCATCCAAAGGTAAAAGCGGGAGAATCGAGAGTTCAAGGTCAGTCCTAGCTCAAGAGCAGTGGTTCTCAACCTTCCTAACACTATGACCCTTTAATACAGTAGTACTTCATGTTGTGGTAACTGCCAGCCATAAAAGTATTTCATGGCTACTTCATATTGCAAGTTTATTGTTATTAGGGATCGTAATCTGATATGCAGCCCCAAGGGGGTTGAGAGCCAGTGCTATAGAGCAGGAGTCCCTGTCTCAGAACAAAAACAGATGGAGAAGCTGCATCCCTGGAAGGAGATCTTCAGGATTGAGATTTGTGGCTCACACCGAGGTTGTCTTTATCTCATTGTGGATTTCTACTGAGCTGAGTCTTAAGAGTCAGCTGTGCTGTTGGTCAGTCACCTGCGGTTAGCTTTCACTTGGCTGTTGGTCTTCACTTATCCTAATTTCCCTGCGTCCACCCCTGGTGCCGCGGTGAAATCCAGATCCTGCATGCAAGCAAGTCTTCTCCCATCAAGCCACATGCAAGCCCCTATTTAATTAAGCATTTTTTGAGTGTATTTAGTGTGTTTGGGTGCATGTGGGGCTCAGAACATAATTCGCAGGGCTCTGGAGACTGAATTCAAGTTGCCAGGCTCAGCGTCAAGATCCCTTTTTTTACCCGTGAGCCGTGTTGGGCCCCTATTTAATTTTTCTTTCTTACTTTTATTTATTTGGTTTTTTGTTTTTGTTTTTTGTTTTGTTTTGTTTTGATTTTTTGAGACAGGGTTTTTCTATAGTTTTTGGTTCCTGTCCTGGAACTAGCTCTTGTAGACCAGACTGGAATTTTTTTTTTTTTTTTTTTTTTTTGAGACAGGATTTCACTTCAGGGTATCTGACACTCTTCTGGCCTCCGAGAGCACTGCATGCACATGCATGGATATGCATGCACATAAAACACCTAGGCACACAATAATAAACCTTAAAGGGATTTAGAGAAAGCTGTTTTGAGACAAGGTCTCACTATATAGCTCTGGCTGTCTGGAATACAGAGAAGGCTGGCCTCCAATTCAGAGATCCCCCTGCCTCTGCCTTCCTGAGTGCTGAGGTTAAAGGAGTTTATGGTGGAAGTTTCCTTCCAAGTCCCCTCCCCTGGAAGTTGCATCAGTCCAGACTCCACCCCCAAGAAAGCCCGCCAAACAATGACCCCTCCCCAGGGATGGTCAAGACCACCCCCTCAGGGTATTTAAGCTGCCCCCCCCCCAGAGAACAAACACGTGCTTTTCGGATCTTCCATTCTCTTCTCTCTGAGGAACTCAAAGGCACCCGGGAGCGCTGGTATTTATTAAACCTGGGCTATTTCTAATTTGGTTTGATTTGGTCTGATTTTAAACCTGGGCTGTTTCTAATTCGGTTTGACTTGGTCTGATTTGGATTATTGTGTCGGCGGAGAGGTTTATCGGGTCGCAGAAACTTTTCACTTACCTTTATTTATTTGTTATTTAAAATGTGTGTGTGTGTGTGTTTGTGCATGTGAGTGCAGTGATCATGGAGGCCAGAAAAGACTTGATTTCCCCAGAGCTAAATTAGGGTCAACCAACCGGATGTGGGTGCTGGAAATGCAACTTCCGGTCCTTTGAGAGAGAAGCACGTGTTCCTCTTTGGCTCTAGCCTTGTGGCATTCTCTCGTGCCTGTTGGCACCCCCAGCAAGACTGTAGAAGTCAAGTAGGAATAGGCTCCTGAGTCAGAGAATTAATATCAAAGTTTTCTCTTTTGGAGGGTAAGTGCTCGTAATTTTATACAGAGTCTATAGTCCAGGCTGGCCTTGAACTTGCTGTGTAGGAGAGGACCTCTTGCCTCTCTACCTCACAAGTGCTGATACTGCGGGCCTGCACAACTCGTTTTATTGTTGTTTTTCTATTGTTGTCTCCCGGTGGCGCTGGTGATGGAAGCTAGGGCCTTGCACATGTTTGCTGTACCTTTAGCCCCTGCCCTCCGGGCACCCTCCTTGCATTTCTTAATGGCTTTTTGTGGTAACTGGTCCTTTGTTGCCTCTGGCATTTAACCTAGATTACAGCTTGCGGTAAGAATCTTGGTAGTTTTCTGTCTTTGTTTTTTATGAGGGTTTGTTGTTTTCTTTTACACAGGGTAAACTCAACAGAGTCTTCCTGCTTCTGCCTCCCCAGGGCTGAGTTTAAAGTCCTGTACCCCCAAACCCAGCTATTAGTTTTTCTTTATCCTCTATCTTTAAGCACCTTTCATTGTGTATGACCAAGGAGTACCAAGGGTACACAGACGGTAGAGTAGTGGAAACCACTGAATGTGGATAGTGGTGACGGGCTGACCTTTGTACTGCAAGGACACTGCTGACTCAAGTGACTTTGGGAAAGCTTTTATTTATTTTTGTTATTGTTTGTTTTTTTGAAACTAACATTTTATGACTATTGTAATCATCAAGATGAACTGGATGCTGCAATAGCTGCCCTCTTAGGTTTCGGTGAGACAGTTTTTAGGGGCTTCATCCATCCAGTCTGGGTAGTGTGCCACCACTTGGCCTTGGCTCTCTGGTTGTTTAGAAATTTTCATTGTAACCATTTCAAGCCATTGCTTTTGTCTGCTGTGATTTCTCTCCGGGTGTTCTTTGCTGCTTGGTGGCCTTCATTCAGCCCTGGACATTTTTGTTGAACTAGCCAAAGGTTGAGTTAGGTTTTTAGTTTGCTTTTTTTTTTTTTTTTTTATGTATACAATATTCTGTCTGTGTGTATGCCTGCAGGCCAGAAGAGGGCACCAGACCTCATTACAGATGGTTGTGAGCCACCATATGGTTGCTGGGAATTGAACTCAGGACCTTTGGAAGAGCAAGAACCGCTGAGCCATCTCTCCAGCCCCCAGTTATTGTTTTTTAAAGAGTTTGAGAGGCTGGAGAGATGGCTCAGCAGTTAAGAGCACTTCTTCCAGAAGATCCTGGTTCATTTCCCAGCATCCACTTGGCAGCTCACAACTAACTGCTTGTAACGCCAGTATCTCTCATACATACATACGTGAAGGCAAAAACACCAGTGTATATAAAATAAAAATAAATTATTAAAAGTAAAATAAAAATAATTTGAGAGTGTTTGACTTAGAAACCAATCTGTAGAAAATTATTCTAGGCATGAAATATAAATAAAAATGGAAGTATGTTTTTTTCTTTAGAATTTAATTTTTAAAAAGTTCTTGCCTGGTATGATGGTGCTGGTGCACACTTTTAATCTCAGCACCTGAGAGGCAGATGCAGGCAGATCTCTGAGTCTGAGAGGCCAGCTTGGTGTACAGAGTGAGTTCCAGGACAACCAGGGCTACACAGAAAAAAACTTGTCCTGGGCGGGGGACACTCAACCAAAAACACCCAACAAAACTTCTGCGATTGGGTGTCACTCACTTAGGCTGGCCTTGAAGTTGCTGTGTAGGTGTAGCTGGCCTCGACCCTGACTGTCTGCCTTAGCCTCCCAAGTGCTAGGATTGTGTCAGCTCACCCACCCACTCTAGGACTTGGTTTCTTTCCTTTTTTAAGATTTATTATATTTTATGCTTATGGCTGCTTTGCCTGCGTGCATGTCTATACATTGTGTGCATGCAGTGCCCACAGAGATCAAAAAGGCTTCAGAGCCTCTGGAATTGGTGTTCCAGACCTAAGTGAGCCTTCATGTGGCTTCTGGGAACCAAACATGGGTCCTCTGAAAGAGCAGACAGATGCTCTTAATTACTGAGTCATCACTCCAGCCCTAGACTTTTGTTCTTACACAATAATTACTAAAAAGCAAAAGTTTTCTTCTGCTAGGAACAGTTACACAGCACGTGCAATTACAAAGGGTAGAAAAAAAAGGTGGAATTATTTTCACTGCCTCGATATAACACAATCTTATAAAACCATCATCATAGGACATTAAAAGTATGTCCAGTTGGCTTGATTATATGTGTGTGTGTGATGTGATTTGATCTCAGGAGGTTGACAAGGAGGAGTGCTTGAGTGCAGGCCAGCTGGGCAGCAAGGTGAGGCTTCATCTGTGGAATAGAACATGTGCCTAACTGCTTAAGTTTGGTCTCTAGCATTGTCAGCAAAAAGAGAAGGGAAAAGGAGGGCAAAGAGAGAATGAGGATATGAAAATATGACCCCCAAAAGAAGTTAAAAGATGTGTAGGAGTATTTTGATAGTCCTATGAGCTGGGTCTGGGAGGAGGACTTGAGGGTGTATCTTTGGTGGCCAGCAGAGCCATAAAAGAGATTGTCTCAGGAATAGTGATGATGATACTCGTTGCTTTCTTCTGAGATTTTGTGGTAGACGCCTGCCAGCCTGCTTCCCTTCCTTTTTAGACAATGCCTTGCCTTTAATCCTGGTTGGCATCGAACTCAGGATTCTCTTACTTAAACCTCCCAAGTGCCCGACTGAAGGCATGTACTATTACTGGCTTAAAAAATATGCAATTTTTTTTACCTTAAGTAGTCACATTTGTTCTAATTTTGGGGCTGAAGATGCTTAGCATGTACCAGACAGTGCTCACTTGCCATCACCAAACACACACAGATCCACAACAAACAAACCCAGAAATCCAGGCCTGGTGGCTCAAGCCTTAAGAAACAAAAGGATCAGAAGTTCAAGGTCATCTCCCAAACAGCCAGATAGAGCAAGTGCAGTCTGACCACACAAAGCTCTGTTTAAGATTGTTTTATTTATTCTTTGCTTTTTTTTTTTTCTTCTTCAACCAGGATCTTACTGAGTGGACCTGGCTGACCTGGAACTTTCTATGTAGGCAAGGCTAGCTTAGAACTTGAGGCATTCCTCTTGCCTCTGCTTCCAAGTCTTGGAATTTACCGGTGCCTACGCCAACCCAGAACTCACTCCTTAGTTAGTGATGACCTTGAGTTTCTCTTCCTCCTTGTTTTCACCTCCCGAGAGCTAGGACTGTAAACGTCTGCCCCACGTCTGGTTTTATTTCTGCTGTGATGGAGACTGAACACAGGGCTTTTCGCATTCTTGACAAATGAGCCAGCTTCCACTCCAGCTTTCTTGAGTTTTGAGAAGGGTCTTACTAAGTTGCTCAGGCTGGCCTGGAACTCACTCTGTAGCCCAGTCTTCTTGCTGATCTTTTCTAAGTATTGCTATTAAAACATGTGTCCCACACCTGGCAGGTGCATTTAGTTAGTTTTTTTTTAAAATATTTATTTATTTATTATGTATACAGTATACAATATTCTGTCTGTGTGTGTGTCTTCAGACCAGAAGAGGGCAGCAGACCTCATTACAGATGGTTGTGAGCCACCATGTGGTTGCCGGGAATTGAACTCATGACCTTTGGAAGAGCAGGCAATGCTCTTAACCATTGAGCCATCTCTCCAGCCCTTTAGTTAGTTTTTAAACGTCTATCTCTTCTTGTTGTATTGACCCTTTCCTCGGGCTCTAAATAGTGGGAAAAGATGGTATTTAAACAGATTGGGAGCCAGTGAGACAACTAATGGTAAAGATTCCTTTTACCAACTTGACCCCAGGACTCACATGGTGAAAGGAAAGAACTGAATTTCTTAAATTGTCCTCTGGCCTCCACAGGTCCGTCATGGCCCTAACACACATGCAAACACAAAATAAAAATAAATGGAATAAACAGAGATGGGCTTTTAGGTCCTAGCTCTTCACTCCGCCAACCCAGCCTCTGGGGCATGTCCTCCTGTCTCTGCCAACCCTTTAACTCTTAACCCTAATAGACCTCCCCTTCCTAACCAGTACCCTCCTGTCCAGGATCTTAAAATTCAGTTCTGTACTATGGGCTAACCCCTCCCGTTCAGGAGACCCCTTTCCTTGTCACTTGGCTCTGGTCCTCCTCCTTAGTCCAGCCTCCTGCCTCCCTGGAGCAGACACTCTGCCCCCCACAGAGCCATTTACTGTTTTTATCCTTCCCATGGGACCTTGAGATTCAGGCTCTAGTGCCCTCCTTGACCAAAGTTGGGGGGGGGGCTCGGGGAGTAACTTCAGCCAGGCAAGAAAGATCCCTCTGACTATCCATGCGGGGCTTTTTTTGGTTTTCGTGTTTGTATTTTTATTAGTTTTAGAAAAGCCAGCTTGGAACTGGCTTGCTCAAGCAGTCTTCCTCCACAGTCGCCATGCAGGGGTCTCTTTGCCTGTCTGCTTAGGTTGGGTGAGGTAATGGCATTTCTTGGCCATCTGGATTATTTATGGGAGCAGAATTGAAGTCAAGGTGTAAAAAGCCCATGAATGTTGATTGATTCCAGCAAACTCAGGGAAGGCTTCAACCAGTTCCCTCAAGTCCTTGTCCCAGGCTGTACCTGGACTTTGGTAGACCCTGAATAGGACTTTGGGTCCTTCCCATCCAGGAATAACAATGCTGTTTCCTCCCAGGCTGTCCTGACAGGTAATTCGCCTCCAGTGTGATGGTTCCCAGTAGAGGGGAAAAATACAGGGCTAGGAATGAAGTGCTGTTGCTTAATGCTTGCCTGGCGGGCATGAACTCCAGAACCAGTCGTCTGTGCTTGTAATCTTAGCACTTTGGAGACAGAGGCAGGAAGATGAGACGTTCAATATCATTCCCAGCTATATAAGTTTGAGGCCAAATCCATGGGACCTTGTTTGAAAAAAATCAGAATAAAAATAAATAAATGCCTGGCCATTGGTGGCGCAAGCCTTTAAGTGAATGAAGAAAAATGCTTAGCTCTTACCCTATTTGTAATGGTCTGTCCTGTCCCTTTAAGAGACAAGCTTCCCTCATCCCCCTTTCTCTCTCTCTCTTCCACTCCTATCCCTGTCCCTCACCCACCAGGGCTACTTACCCACGGCCACAGTGGCCCCACTGGCCCACAGAGAACTGGGCCACAGCGTTTTTACATTGCACTATTGAATGTTAGTGGTCAGGGTTACTGGTTACATTTATGGCTTCCTGCAGTGACTGCAGTCATGTTTCACAGCTGAAAGTCACTTTGACAGCAGAGAGCTGTTTGTACGGAATGGCAGGAAGCACCACAGACAAGTCGGTCAAAGCATATGCCTACACAAGAGTGTTCATAGAAGCCTAGTCATAGGAGACTCCAGGCTGTAAACGACCCACTGATGAAGGGCAGAGGAAGTGTTCTGGTGCACATAGAAGAGAAAATACCCTGAAAATGTGTACAGGTTATGGATGGCTAAAGAAGCTGGCTGCAAAACAGTATGACCCTCTCAAATAAAACTCTAGGAAAAGCAAATCTGAAAATGAAGGTGGTTGTCTGGGTTGAAGAACAAGGTATTGACCTTATGAGCTTAGGTGGGAAAATGACGTTTAAAGATAGGCACTCTTAGCTTAGGAGACTGAGGCAGAAGGATCATGAATTCAGAGTTATGTAATACCCTGTGTCAAAAAGAAAACAGCCAGAAAAGCTGTAGCTCACTTGGTGGTGTTGAAGAACCAGCTTCTGTTCCCAGCACAGCGCCAGTAACCCCAGCACTCAGCTGGTGGAGGCGAGAGAATCCAGTCAAAGTCATCTTCATCTGTATAGTCCGAGGTCAGCCCACATGGCAAGAGAGCCCCTTTCTAAAAAAGAAAAGCACTAAAACTGCTTGGGACAACGACAAAGTAATAATAAATTCTCTTGATTATAATTTTTTTTTCCCCCGAGACAGGGTTTCTCCGTAGCTTTTTGGTTCCTGTCCTGGAATTAGCTCTCATAGAGCAGGCTGGCCTCAAACTCACAGAGATCCTGACTCTGTCTCCCGAGTGCTGCGATTAAAGGCGTGCACCACCACCGCCCAGCTTGGTTATAAATTTAATAGATGATGAAGTCGTGTGTCTGCGCTTGTGTGCTTAGGCACTGTCACTCTTTCTTGGCCGGACTAATGACTTTGCTTTCTCAACACCCCAGGTGGAGACATCCTACAGATTTGCATCTGAATAGACAGTCGTTTAAGGTAAGTGTTTCCCTTTATCTCTTTTGCACACCCTTTTGATTGTTTTAGGTTTTATTTACTTATTTTGGTGGAGGGTCTCTTTAGGTCTTGCTGGCCTGAACTCACAGAATTGCCTTCCTCGGCCTTTGCAGAACTGGGATCAAAAGTGTATGCCTCCTGGCCTGGCTGAGTTTGTTTGGTTATTTATTTTGAGAAACTTGACCTTTTTTTTTTTTTTTTAATTTATTTACTTATTATGTATACAGTGTTTTGTCTGCAGTCCAGAAGAGAGGGACAAGATTGAATTATGGATGGTTGTGAGCCACCATGTGGTTGCTGGGAATTGAACTCAGAGCCTCTGAAAGTACAGCCAGTGCTCTTAGCCTCTAAGAGTCCATTTTTTGTTTGTTTTAATCTATGTGTGTTTGTATGTTTTTATGCCATGAGTGTATTGATATTAGAAGGACCAAAAGAGAGTATTGTTCCTTGGAGCCAGAGTTACATACAGGCAGGTTGGAACCTCCTAATGTGGATGGTGGCGGTGTAACTAGGGTTCTCTAAAAGAACCTCCGTGTCTTCTCTCCAGCTCTGAATTCCTCTCGTGAAGACCAATTTTGATCTGAGTTTTGTTTTCCCCCAAAGGGGTGGCTGTGCATGTGTGTGCCTGCATGCATGTACGTGGGTGGGTTTCCAAGGAGGGCACAAGAAGGCATTGGCATCCCTGTAATTGGAGTTAAGGGTGACTGGTGCTGGGAATTGATCCTGGGTCCTGTGGAAGAGTAGGTAGTGCTCTTAACCACTGAGACACCTGTCTAACCAAAACATGTTTCTTCCTCAAAGGTGAAGAACACTTAGATCTATGCTTAGAGCAGGAAACTTCTAGAAGATTTTGGTCAGGGTACTGTCATGACTAAGACAAAGACAACTGTCCTAAAACTGTCCTTTGGGGAGTTGGAGAGATGGCTCAGCGGTTAAGAGCATTGCCTGCTCTTCCAAAGGTCCTGAGTTCAATTCCCAGCACATGGTGGCTCACAACCATCTGTTTTTTTTTTTTTTTTTTAAACTGTCCTGTGGGTAGATGTGAGGCTTGGCTGGGGAGAAATGAGATAGGAAGCTTATCGGAGGCCTTGTTCATCATATCACATGACTCAAACGCTCTAATGTTTCTGTATGTAGATTTGTGTGTTTTTTTGTTTTTTTTTTCAAGACAGGGTTTCTCTGTATCTTTGGATCCTGTCCTGGAACTAGCTCTTGTAGACCAGGTTGGCCTTAAACTCACAGAGATCTGCCTGCCTCTGGCCTCCCAGTGCTGGGATTAAAGGTGTGCGCCACCATCGCCCAGCCTGTATGTAGATTTTAAAGAAAGAATAATCATGGTGATCCGCATAATGCCCAGGTGCTAGGTAGGGGTGGGAGCCCTGGTACAGATCCGGTGCAGCTGGCGGTCATTCAAGAGGGAGAGGTCGAGGCCCACAGACATGGCAGATTTGAGAACTGAGGGCTGGATTCTATTCTTCTCTCTCTCTCTCCCTCTCAGGGGAAGTCATGATTACAGACATTCAGTTTCCTAGTCCTTGACTCTGTTGATACTGGGAGTAAGTGGCTAAGGTTCACGTAGCAGATGTAGACAAAAAGGGATTTGGAAAACCTTTGAAGCTGTGTTCTCATGACCTACTTCCACTGTCTCCTTTGGTTTGGTTTTTGAAACAGGGTTTCTCTGTAGATTTGGAACCTGTCCTGGAAGAACTAGCTCTTGTAGACCAGGCTGACCTTCAACTCACAGATCTACCTGCCTCTGCTTCCTGAGTGCTGGGATTAAAGGCGCTCACCACCGTCACCTGGCTTCTTCCACTGTCTCCTAAGATTTCCTGAATCTAGTGCCACTAGTTGGGGATTAAGTATTCAATACATAAGCCTGATTGGGAGACATTTCATGTTTAAACCATATTTTACCTTAAAAATTCATGGCAGTTTTATTATGCAAAATACATTTAGTTCATATTCAAGCGCCTCCAACATCTTTTTAATCTTGTGGGAGTCCACAGTAACTCCATCCCATCTTAACCTAAGGTAAGAGAGTTCAAGCTTATTCTTGCTCCTCAAGACCAGATAACAGGATGTTTGGCGAAAGGTGTGGTTTCTAGGTTTTTTGAGTATTAAGGAGATGAGTATGCCTGTTTGTTTCTTGAACCATGTTAAGGAAATCTTTTGCTTTGGATGTAAAAGGGCTGTGAGGAAATAATTTGGGGCTGCTGCATATTCACTGAGAGTCCTAATTCTGTCTTTTTTTTTTTTTTTTTTTTTTTTTTTTTTNTTTTTTTTTTTTTTTTTTTTTTTTTTTTTGTCTCTTAATCCTCAGTCCCCTATTCAGTTTGACAAGCTTGCTGGTCCTGATAGGTGGCACCCACACGTGGAACCTCAGGAAGAACACTGCAAGTCTGCAAGTGATTGGGGCAAAATTGTAAACATGGACCAGGGTAATAGTAGACAGCTGTTTATACATTTGATTAAAGATATTTTAAAAGCCAGAGGAGCTAAAGTGAAGCAGCAGCAAGTACAAGAATTCTTAGAGTTTGTCGAGCAGGTGTGCCCGTGGTTTTCCAAGCACAGGACCTTGGATGCAGACACATGGAGGAGAATTGGAGCAAAAATCCAACAGCATTCTAACAAGCATGGGCCTGGAAAGGTCTCAGTTGGTGCTCCCAGTCTGTGGGCACTTATCCAGGACAGTTTGAATTTGCACCCTGAAGGGCAGAAGGTGTTTCCTCCTGAAACAGTTAAAAGTGAAACAAAACCCTCTGCGCTGCTGAAGGAGCCCCTGGATTCGGACACCTTTACAGAATTGTTGGATGATGATCAGTTTGATCCTGTTGAAGCTGAGTTTGAGGAAGAACGCACTGGGTACAGTAATGAGAAGTTTTCACCTCCCCAGATTCAGACTGTGAATGTCAAAGGGCAGAAACCTGGTGATGAGATTGAGGAGGAGCTGAAGGGCTTGAGGGAATTAGTAGTTTCCCTTTCACAAAAACTGGAGAGTCTGCAAGTCTCTTCTCGGAAGGGCACTCCTCTTCCTACTGTCATGGCTGGATTAGATCCGCCTGGGGAGCCATCTGTGGTGCAAAGACTTCCCACGGTATGGCAAACACTCACTGTTAGTCATATGTCTCCCCTGGAAGCTAGTGTTAAAGAAGCAGCTAGCAGAGGGGAGGATGTGCAAGGGTTTCAGATGTTCCAAGTGATTGAGCAGCGAGATGCCCAGGGCAACATTATTTTGGTGCATATGCCGGTTCTGTTTAAACAACTCAAGGAATTAAAAATGGCATGCTCTCTCTATGGGCCCACTGCACCCTTTACAAGAGGTCTGCTTGAAGACATAACTGTAATGATCTTGACCCCTGGGGATTGGAAACTGATTGCCAGAGCTTGCCTGTCAAGAGAGCATTACCTGTGGTGGAAAGCTGAATTTATGGAACAATGTGAAGCCACAGCTGCAAGAAATCGGGCCCAGCAAAGTTCCATTACTTTTGATATGCTTGCCGGAGAAGGCATTTATCAGACAACAGATCAGCAGTTAAATTTTGATCTGGCAGCGTATGCCCAGGTAGAGATGGCTGCCAAGATGGCCTGGAATAGGCTTCCATGTACTGGAATGCGTACTGTGGACTTGTCAAAAATAAGACAAGGACCTGATGAATTATTTCAGGACTTTGTCTCTCGGTTGAGGGAGGCAACAAGCAGGTTAATTGGGGTTACAGAAGATAGATTTGTCAAAGGGCTAGCCTATGAAAATGCTAATGCTGTCTGTCAGGCTGCTTTGAGACCTTATAGAAACAAGGGCAACCTCTCTGATTATATTCGACTTTGCTCAGATATTGGGCCTTCATATACTCAGGGGTTAGCTATGGCTGCTGCATTACAGGGAAAAACAGTTAAGGATATTCTCTTCCAACAAAGAAATCAAGGCCTGAGAAAAGGGAGAGCTGTGGGCTCTTCTGGAAGTTGCTTTGGGTGTGGCCGGATGGGGCACAAGGTCAAGCAGTGTCCTGATGAGAGAAAAAGTGTTGGGACAAAGAAGGAACCCGGATTGTGCCCAAAATGCAAGAGAGGAAAACATTGGGCTAATGAATGTAGATCAAAGAAGGACGCCCATGGGAATCCACTGCCGGGAAGGGGGCAAAGGGGCTTGCCCCAGGGCCCGAGACAATGTTGTGGGGTGCTTCAGAAGTCTGTTCCTCTGCAAGGAAATGGTACCTCGGCAGTGCAGAATTGGATCTCAGCTCTTCGCTCTGCACAGTCTTAACTCCCAAAATGGGCGTGCAAACCCTCCCTTTTGGTGTTTATGGGCCTTTACCAAAAGGCCCTGCAGGGTTATTGATGGAGAGGAGGAGAACCACCACACGGGGGGTTTGTTGCTCCCAGCGTTATTGATGCTGATTATGAAGGAGAAATCAAGGTTATGAGCCACTTGCCTAATCGAATTTCTGTGGTAAAGATGGGCTTGAAACCTGCACAATTAATTTTACTTCCCTAAGTGTAAACAATAAATCAAGTTTCAAGAGGTAAAAGAGAAGAGGCTAGATTTGGTTCATCTGATGCCTGTTGGTCCACAGTGCCCAGAACTCACTTTGTTTATAAATGGAAAGAGCTTTTCTGACCTCTCCTAGATGCTGGTGCAGATGTGTGTTATTACTGCCAGTCAATAGCTTTCAGTGTGGCCAAAGATGGATTCTATTACACAACTGCCTACAGTCAACCTAAGACAGGACACGCATGGTAGAATGAGTGTACCAGTGATAGGCAAGTCTGGAAGGTTGAAAAGATAGTCATCTGTCTTGTGTCAGAAGCACAGATATTAAAAAATTAAAGGGAGAATTATGGGAGTCCACAGTGACTTCCATCTTGATTTAAGGTCAGAGAGTTCAAGCTTGTTCTTGCTCCTCGCGGCCAGATTGTAGAACATTGCCATACCACAACTCCAGTGTCGTCTGTGTGACATAACATGTCATGCTGGATGGGAGCTACGTGTCCTATGGGACTAGGCTTCCTGGAGGTCAATGGCAGATGGCCCGGTATTAGCCACCACTGAGGCATAGATGGGTTTCTCGAGTAGCTGGCTATGCGGGATATGGGCTTTGCACAATCTGTTTTATAATAATGATAGTCTATCTGCAAGACAAGGATTATCTCTTCAGGAACAGCTCTGGGATCGGGAAGCACAGTATGGGAATATATAAGACTACAGCAAGGGTGTCATACACGGTATATGATGAGCAAGGGAATAGATGGGTTAATGTTGATGGACAGAGTGTTATACTTTGAACTTTATAGGCTTGCTAGATCCCAACCCCCATGGTGTCTGCTGCATAAGGAGGTACAAAAAAGTATTTCAACTGTTGCAGAGAGCTGTCAGGCGAATTTGGTCACTAGATGAGATAAAGAAAGGGTTAGGAAGAGGAAGGTCCATGATAGCGATAATGAGACACTTTCTATTCATAAGATGAGACCACTTGTCTGAGGTTTACGTTCCCAAGGACAAGATTTCCTCTTCTAAGGATGTTTTATGTCTAACACCTGTCCCTGATAATACGCTTTTCTTATAAATCGCTGATGTGACTAAAAGAAGCTTTCATACTGTGCCAACTAATGACACATGACCTTCTGGTTTGTTCTTTGTTTGAATACTATATAATCAAAACATGAATACAGTAAAATTGCAGCAGATTTCAAATACTCTCTTGTGTGTTGTGTCTGTCATTTGCTGAACTTGTGCCTTCCTGTGTACCAAGATTCTGCTTCTCCCATGGTATGAGTGCCTCCCCTGAGCTGTTCCGTGGCAGGATGTCTGGCCAAAGGTATGGTCACTAGATGTTTTCCTCCTCGAGGCCAAAGGCATCGTTTCTAGATATCTTGTGAATTAGGGAGGCGATTATGCTTTGTTTGTTCCTTCAACCATGGTAAGGAAGTCTTTTGCTCCCCTCTTTTGCTCTGGGTGTAAAAGGGCTATATGAAATAAACTCGGGGCTGCTACAGTATTGAGAGCCCTCCTGATTCTATATCTCTTTTTTAATCCTCATTCCCCTATTCAGATGACTGTTCAGGTCTGCCTGCCCCAATATCTTTTGGTGTTTTTTGCCAGCCTTGTACAAAAGTTCAGTGTCTCTTCTGAGATTTACAGGCTCCAATCCCATGTAAAGTTGTACTTCCAATATGCAATGGCAGGGTAAGCATTTCTGTTCCCAGTATAAAGAAAAGACTAATAAGGAAGGATCAGACCAAAGAAAGACTAAATCTAGCTCTAGCTAGTTATCTTTTTAAACCCTCACAGTTGAGACCTCAAGACAAGAGCCCACCTGAAGAGCTGCTGTGCACAGGGGGACCGAAGATGCATGGGGCAGGGAGTGGAGGAAGAACTTAAAAGTCTTCAAAACATGTTCCTGCTCACGGATGGAGCAGCCTCCAGGCTAAAGCTGTCTTCCATGTCAATCATGGGCCCTCCTAGTTGATGCTTATGATAGACAGAAGCTGGTCCATTGACCTTTCTCCACTAGCAACCTGTACAATTGGAAGCTACAGAATCCCAGGTTTTCTCAGAAACCCACTATGCTCTTTGACATGTTAGTTTCTGTCTGCTCTACATCAGCCAACCTGGGATGCTGTTTACCAGCTGCTCTAGGTCTCTGTCACTACAGAAGAGAGAAAACAAGTTCTGGTAGAGTCTCCAAAATGGATCTGTATGCAGACAGGAGGCATAACACAAATCTAGACCTCATCAATGCAGGTTTCTGCTGATCTGACCTGACTGGGTCTTCAAAACAGGAAGGTAGGGATGGCAGAAGGTCTACTGCTAGACTCTAATCGGGGAGTCTCTGGGCTGCCACAAGATTGCAAGTGACATTGTCTTTGACTGGAGGGAAAGAACCTTGGGTGTCATCTAGGTCCTTCCAGTGTACTGAGCAGACAGTAGTATGGGTGTTCTCCTGTTCTGCTGATGGAGGAACTGGGTCTAAACTTCCAGTGAGGAAATCTGAGGGCTTCTGTTTCTGTGATGATTGTTGGATGGAGGAGGACCCATGGCTTCTCTGACTCTGCCCTTCAGTTCTGTTTTCTCCGCCTACCTAAGTTCTGCCCTATCAAAAGGCCAATGCAGTTTCTTTATTCATTAACCAACGAAAACAACACATAAACACAAGGACCTCCTACACCAGATGATGGTGATGTGTACCCCAGGGTCCCCAAGTCCCTTCACTGCCAGCTCATCGAGAGGTATGGTCATCATGGGAGAGTGTGGAAAAATGTGCAGTGTCCAGAACACCCTAGGGGGTTCTTTTAGCTGAGGGGTGCCCCGTCTGGAGTTGCTGTGCAGTGACAGGTTGTGTCCCACAGTCCCTGGCCCAGGGGGCGCCTTTGTTACATTTGGGGCAGCACTCCTTGTGTGGATTGCATGTGTGAGTGGTGGGCTTTGTGGGTGATCTTCAGACCCTAACATGTTACACTGCTTCACTATCAGTAACTGCTTGTCCCCAGCCTTACACAGGCTTTTCCGACTGGTGGGTGGTTTCTGGGGGCTCTGCTCTCTTTGCTCTGTGTATTCTCTCTGTGGACCTGGATGACAGGGCCACAGCCTGCATGCTGGGGTGACTTGGAATGTCCTCACCTTTAAACTCAGCTTCCTACAAAGTCTCAGGGCATGGACAGAATGTAATGTGTCTGCAACACTCTGGCTTTTCTGGCTCGCAGTTCCAACTGTTCCAAATGATCACCACGGATCGGGTCTGAGGCTTGGTGGATCACGTTATCAGGTCATCCCCGTGGTGTCTTCCTCATGTCTTTAGTGTCAAGTTTTTGTTAGTCAGACTTTGTGTTACTTTGCCAAAGCACTTGGCATGAACAATTTAAGAAGGGAATCATTGTTTCAGCCCATAAGCCTTGGCTCCGAATTTGGGCCCTTGGTAAGACAGAACGTGGTATGGGGGGGCATGCGGGAAAACAGCAGGTACCACCTCTTGTCACACTCTGAGAGAGTGTGGGGGACCATGAGAATTTCTGAGAGGAAGCTGGTGCACCAACCCAGCTCAGAATTCTGTGGCCGAGGCTACCAGTTTATGCAATGTCCTTGGCTGACACCTAGTGGTCACGTCTGGTAATATCCTTGTGTTTTGGGGGCAGGGTCTCATGTAACCCTGATTGGCTTTGAACTCTTGCCCCTCCTTCCTCAGCCTTGCCCCTCCTTCCTCAGCCTTCAGTGTTGGGTTAAAGGTGTGCAGCTCCGCGTCCTTCTTACCCGCAAGCGTAGTTTGCACCTCCCTTTGCTGGCCTATTCAGCACGTTTGCTACCTAGGATGACTGCTCTTCACAGAGGCCTTTTGTTTTGGACCGGGTTTTGTTGGTGAGTTTCACTTTTTTAAAGGACTTTCTTTAACTTATGTATATGTGTGTGGGTCTGTGCCATACTGACAGTGGTGCCTTCAGAGAGCAGAGGCATCAGCTGCTCCTGGGGCTGGAGTTACAGGTAATTTTGAGCGGCCCAAAGTGTGAATGATGGGAATCGAACTCTGGTACTCTTCAAGAGCAGTGTGTTCTCTTAACCACTGAGCCATCTCTCCAGCATCCTTGTACATTTATTTTAATGTGTGTGTGTGGTTTGCCGGCGTGTAGGCTTATGCCCCACATGTGTGCCTTTTGCCCTCCGAGGCTAGAAAAGGGCCTCGGGTTTCCCTGGAATTGTATTTACGGTTAGGAGCCGTCACTTGAGTGCTAGAAATGGAATTCGGCTCCCCTGGAGGAAGAGCCAGTGCTCCTAACCACTGAGGCAGCTCTCCACCCCACGGTACATTTACTTTTTTTGCCAGTCCTGGATGGATATTCCTTCGTGCTTGCTTTATTTTTTTGAGATGGAGTCGGGGGAGAATCTCGCTTTGTAGCCCCAGCTGGCCTGGAACTCACAGAGATCTGTCTGCCTCGGCCTGCTGAGTGCTGGGGTTGAACGTGAACCACCAAAGCTGTGGTGAATAAATACTTCATTTAGTATTGCTAACAGCTGTGTGAGGTACCCGTTGAGCGAGATCTTTGGTTTATAGATGAAACCTGAGCTTCACAAAGATTATCTAAGTGCCTGAGACAGTGGGATGGCTCCATGGAGGAGCACTTACCCGACATGCACCAGGCCAGCGCGCTGATTCCCTCCCCCCACCCCCGCCCCCCAGTTTTATCCTGTTCACTGTGCTCCTCTGGCTTCAAGGTTTTGCTCCTCCTTGTGTGTGAATTCAGGAGGCGTCTCCATGCTTGTAGGAGCCGGTAAGGGTGGGCGTGAGTTAAGGAAGTGGCTTAGGTCCCTGTTTTCTTTTTCTTTGTTGTTTTGGAGCAGGGGGCCGGGCAAGTGAGTTCTTTCTACTGCCTAGCTTTGTCCCTGCACGGCTCCTGCTCTTTCTGAACTCCATCCATGCCTGTAATTTCTTTGTTACTGCATCGCAAGGCTGTCCCAGGGGTTTTGGGAGATCCATGTTGGCTTCAGGTTCTCTCTTTTTCTTCAAGGCTTGACCATTTATTTCCTCATGTTAAAGACTCTTATAGCTGTGCAGTACAGGCGCTTGGGAGGCAGAGGCAGGAGATTCTCTGAGTTCAAGGTCAGCCTGGTTTACAGAGTTAGTGCCAGGACAGGCTCCAAAGCTACACAGAGAAACTCTCTCAAAAAAAAAAAAAAAAAACTCTTATTTTTGACTGGTCTCTGGCTTAGAAGTAAAAACTCTCAGCGACGATAACCTACATCTTTTGGTAATCTGTTCCTAGCATTTATCCTTTCTTTTTTATTATTTATTCACTTTATTTTATGTGTAAATATTTTGACTCTGTATGTATGTGTACTAAGTTCATATCTGATGGCTTTGGCGGTCAGAATTGGTCAGAAGAGGGTACTGGATCCCCTGGAACTGGAGTTATAGATAGATGGAAATGAACCACTGTGTGGGTGCGGGGAATTGAACCTGGGTCCTCTGCAAAAGCAGCCAGTGCTCTTCACTGCTGAGCATCTATGCAGCCCCCCTAACCCACCCCTCACTCCCCACCACCCCACCAACATTTTTCTTTGACTTCCTTGATTCTCTTGGCCAAAAACTTACTGTTTTCTACAGGGTTGTTTCTTCAGAGCTATACATCCGAGTTTGTGTTACAGGACATTTGGAGCAACAAGACTCTTAACCCTGGGTGCTTTGGTCCTGGGCTCTTGACCCTCCTTGTTTAAGGGTCTCTGACAATGTTGGCAGATACCATCATCTTTAGAGAGACTGGAACGTTTGTGAGTTCTGTTAGCTCTTTTGGGCCCCAACCATGGAGGTACAGTAGTCTTCGTCAGACCAGAATATATTTTTGTTTGTTTGTTTTTGTTTTTGATATAAAGATGGGGTCTCATGTTCCAAGCGAGTTTTGAACTTACTACGGCTGAGGATGACCTTGAATTCCTGATTCTCCTGCCTCCCAGGTGTGTCCACGACACCGTGCTATAGCACGAATTTTTTTATTTTATTTTATTTTATTTTATTTTGGTTTTTCGAGATAGGGTTTCTCTGTAGCTTTGGAGGCTGTCCAGGAACTAGCTCTTGTAGACCAGGCTGGCCTTGAACTCCCAGAGATCCGCCTGCCTCTGCCTCCCGAGTGCTGGGATTAAAGGCGTGTGCCACCACCGAATTTTAATTGGTCTTAGTAATAAAAACCCGGAATCAGATATTAGGGGGAGA